AAAAAACCGGCCAGGGATTTAGCTCAGTGGTTCCACCACCTGCCTCACAAGCCCAAGTCTCCAGTGTGATCCCCGGTACAAAAAAAAAAAAAAAAAAAGTAATGTAGATGTAGTTCAGTGCAAAGGCCCCTGGTTCAGTCCCTTGTACTGCAAAATAAATAGGGCTGGGCATGAAGCTCAGTGGCAGAGAGCTCCTAGGTTCAATTTCCAGTAACTACTTCCCTGTTGGGAGCAATGCTACATAATTTTAGGGGAAAATCCTACAGGCCAGCTATGGCATTTTGAGACATAATTCCATTTTGGCCCCAGGTCACAACTGAGACCTCAACCTCAACGATCTGGGACATGCTGTGATGCTCCAGGACAAGATTACACCAGCTGAAGACATCCTGGGAGGAACAAAATCTTCATCTACTCAGTTCCTCACTGTTCTTGGATTGTTACACCTTGTTTGTCCTGCTGTACTGAACTCTGTCCTGAGTCATTTGTTACATTTGTTTCTCCCGGGTACAGCAAGCTCAGACCCAAAGCTCAGCTTCTTCTCACAGTCTCATTTTTCTACCTTTCCTGTAATTCGACTTGTGCTGCCATGGCTCCCAGGAGACTAGGACTCACTGCAGAAGTTCTAGTTAATGTCCCCTTTCCCTATTCCCTACACTTCCCTCTTCAAGTTTCATGATATCCCTCTGCCATGCCTCCCTGCCTTAGATTCAGCCAATTATGGACTGAAACCTCTATACACTGTGAGCTGAAATAAACCTTTCTCCTTTAACTTTGGGTGTTGGGTATTTTTTCTCAGCAATGAAAAAAGTTAAGTACTAAAATTTTAAAAATTACATCTGTGCTGTGCATTATACTTGCATTAGTCAGTACTGCTCAAAACCCAGCATCTACAAGAAACACAGGAGATTGATGAATCAAAACTATGGGAACAATATCACATTAGAATGCTATATGTAAAAAGATAATGTTCCTGAAATCTTAAAGAATCAAAATTGTATTTTAAAAAATTCAAGTGAATGATCTAAGTAAAACATTACTGAATAGAGATCTAAACAAAATGCAGGACTACGGATGTAGGTCAGTGCTATGGAGGTCACTTGCCCAGAATGATTCCATCTTCAGGAATGCAAATAGAACAAAAAACAATGTGCTGGGCTGGGGATTTAGCTCAGTGGTTTCACCGCCTGCTGCACAAGCCAAGGTCCTGAGTTTGATCCTTGGTACCAAAAAACCAAAACAAAACAATGTGCAAATCTTGTTTGGATCCTACTTCCAAAAAACCTGACTATTATAAAAGAAAGATACCTGGATACTTTTGGTCAACAGAAGAAATCTGATTTTTTTGGTGTGTGTAGGATAATAGAGATTTGTTGTTTTCTGTTTGGTAGAAGATTATCCTTCTTAGGAAGTACACATTCATAAGACTAAAGGGCAAACATATGGCAAGATCTATAAACTGTTCATCATAACAAAGTTGGTACATATAGTAAAACAGAACAAATCTTAACTAGTGCATCTAAGGTTAACAAATGTTCACTTTATTGAAACTACTTTTTCCTTTCTAAAAATTAGTATGTTTGTGATACATATCTACATTCATCTTGGGGAAATGGTGCACATACATATCACATCTTGAACATTTTTACTCTCCCTTAAGAATTTAAAATTGGAGCCAAGTGTGATGGTGCACATCTGCAATCCCAGTACTAGGGAAGTAGGAGGACCTCGAGTTTGAGGCTAACCTTATCTCAAACAGAAAACAAAAAACATACTTTAAATGAGGGAACAATTCATAACAGCTAAATCTTGGAAGCAGCCTATACATCTATCAACAGTCGAATAGAAAAAGAAAATGTTTCTATATATAAAAATACTACTTGGCTACAAAGAAGGATAAATTTGAGACATTTGTAGGAAAATGGATGGACCTTTAAAACGACGTTAAGTAAAATAAATCAGACACACAAGCTCCAATATATAGTTTCTCTCATATGAAATCCAAAGTACAAATAAAGAGCAAAATAAAAGACTGATAAAAACAAAAACAAAAACAAAGAGCTCTTTTCCAAATGTGAAAAGGACAAAGAGACTCAGTGGGAGGAGTGGAAGGAGTGTAAAAAGATTTAGGATGCATCATGTACATGTACCAACTACCCACCATGAATGTAATTACTGTGTACCAAACATGAAGAGAAAAAAAGAAAAAGGGGGAGAGGAGATCTAGAGTCTGGGGCGGGGGGAGAATGAAGAGAGGAAGGGGATTAAAATGAATCAAGATGCTAAATACATGTACCTACTCCCTAAGATGAATGCAAACATCACATACTGCAAACATATAAATAAAATGAGGAAAGAGTGTGGCTCAGTAGCAGAGCGCCTGTCTAGCATGCAGGAGGCGCTGGGCTTCACCTGCAGCACAAAAGCCAAAAACACCTGGATGAAAAATCCACCTGTGCAAATTCACCTTGCTTATGGGAAACTACCTTAATTCTGCTACTAATAGAAAAAGCCTTGGGCCAGGGATTTAGCTTAGCGGTTCTGTCGCCTGCCTCACAGGCACAAGGTCTCGCGTTCGACTCCCCGGTACCGAAAAAAAGAAAAAGCCTGCATCCCCTCCCTAGAGACTGCCCTGTTTTAAAGCTCTAGATTTACCGGACCCTAAATCGAGTCTGATGTGATGATTTGAGAAGAGAGCTCAGGAGTACCACTTTTTACTTGGTGGCAAATTTTGTATTTAGACACATTCACTTGCTCATACACTTATTAGTATTTGTGTGTGTGTGTGTGTGTGTGTGTGTGTGTGTGAGAGAGAGAGAGAGGGAGGGAGGGAGAGAGAGAGAGAGAGGGTGGGAGGGAGAGAGACAGAGGCAAAGACAGACTAGGAGAAGAGAGAGGGAGAGAGAAGAGAAGGAGATAGAGAGACAGGGTTTCGCTATTTCGTTCAGGCTGGCCTCGAACTCGCGGCGATCCTCCAGCCTCAGCATCCTGAGTGCTGGGATGACAGGAGAGGGCCACCACGCCCGGCGGTCACACATTTAATTCTGTCAGAACCACGTGCTCCCTAATAACCCGAAGAGCTCTTTCCACACAAGTTCAACTTAGCAGACTCCAGGCACTGACACCCCACAGCCAGAACGATTCCAAGTACTCACCGGGACACAGACACCGGGTCGGTGAGGGCAGGAGGACGTGAGGGCTACAGTCACCGCGACACGGGCGACACGGACGCTTTTCCTTCCGTTAAAAGGGCGCCAAGGTTCCAACGGGGGCGCTGCCGCGCCTCCTCACGGATCTGAGCCCAAGGCAGTAGCTCTATCCGGGCAGGCGGATTTGTCCGCGGCTTTCGGAGTAGGCACTGCAGCTCCCGAGTGCCCACTCGAGGGCTCAGCACCCGGCACCTCCCCTTTCCACCCTCACTCTCCTGCCAGGCCGCTCTTGGGCAGTGACAAACATGGAGACAGAAAAGTTTACCTTAGACACCAGACGGAGCGCGGGATTAAGATGGCTGCCAGCACGCGCACGCGCACGCGCCACGCACAAACCGCGCATGCGTAGACGCACGGGTCCGTGGAAGGGGTGTGGCCGTGGAGAATGGGCAGGTGGACGTGAGACTTCCGCTTCCTTACATCCCAGAGCAGAGGAGAAATGACTGCGTCTCTCCGAGACACGGCATGGCTTTCCCAGGGGAGCAAGCATATGATATTTGGTCATTTCTTACCCATAGAGAGTGGTGGACCATTTTCACTTGGGAAAGGTCCAAAAATTAGCATCCAAACTGGACCTGGCGGCGCAAGCCTATAATCTCAGCACTCTGGGAGGCTGAGGCAGGGAGATCGAAAGTTTGACTCTAGCCTGGGCGATTTAGTGACAGGGCAAGATCTTGTCTGAGAATAGAAATTTAAAAAGGGTGGGAATGTAGGTCCATGAGAAGGTACTGGGCTTAATCCCCAGTATTGCTAAATAAATATTAGCATCTAAAAGGTTTGGAGTGTAGCTCAGGGATAGAGTTCTTGCCTAGCAAGCACCACAAAAATAAAAGCAATAAAAAACAGCACACAGACAAGAGCATGCAGACCCCTTTAGGTCTTGGTTTGAGTCCTGTCCTAGTGACAAAGATTCTTTGACTGTTGAACATTAGATTTTTTGAACCTTCTTTAGGCTCATTTACACACCTCCTTGTAAAAGCACCTTGCTAAGTCAGTTTAGCCAAGCCCTCTCTCCCCAATTCTCCTTATGTGAGCCCCCTTGATATTGTTAAAACAATCTGAGTCTATTTGAGCAAGAAAAAGTTTCTAGAGCACATGGTTGACATTCCAGCCCAAAATTCTGTTAGCCTTACTTTCTCATTGCTGAGACTCAATAGTGGACACTCACAATGTAAAGGAGGAGAAATTTATTTTGACTCACAGTTTGTAGAGGTTTCAGTCCATAGTTGCTGGCTCCAAAGCAAGGTGGCATGGCAAAGGAGAAAGAGCTCATAGCATGGCAGTGGGAAGCAGGCGGAATGATACCAAGGGAGAAGTGGGTTGATCTACCCTCCCAGGCCATGCCTCATGTACCCACCTCCTCCAACAGGGCTTCACCTCCCAAATCACATGTAACTATAAACCCATTGATGTGCTAATCCACTGATGAGTATCAGGTCTCCACGATCCAATGACCTCCCCAAAGTCCCACCAATGAGTGCATGAGGTTTTAGGGGGTCATGTAAATGCAAACCATAACATAACCCCTAAGTGAGGCAGGTGCTTTTAGGGGCAAACTCCTGCATTAAAGAGCCATCAGTGTGTATTTTCTTTTTGTTTCAGCTAAAGCTGGAGAAACTTCTGAAGAATCAGCCAAGGTCACCAAGCCACTCTAGGTAATTTGTTTAAGCACCTAGAGCAGATGTAGCCAACACTGGTCCAAAGGGCACATGTACTCCTTTTTTTTTTTTTTTTTTTGAGACAAGGTCTCACTAAGCAGTTCAGGCTGGGCTTGAACTCACTCTGTAGTCCAGGCAGGCCTCGAACTCATGGCAAAACTCTCGACTCAGCCTCCCAAGTGCTGAGATTACAGGCATGTGCCACCACGCCTGGCCACATGTACTCCTGGACACACAGTAATGGTAAATTTAATAATATCAGGTTCCTTGGGTCCTGCCACCCTGTAGTTGATGTCTTATTATTCAGGCTTAGTTTCAGTAAGAACTTTGCTAGATTGATTTAGCCCAAATTCCCTCTTACTCATGATGGTTTCTCTTAGTAATTTTCCTTTCTGACTCCCCTCCTCAATACCAACCACCCTATTCCTTGGCTATAAATTCTCCATTGCCCATGCTATATTCAGAACCTAGTCCAATTCTATACTGAGATCTCTTTTTTCCTACTGTGATTGTTCTGAATAAAATCTGTTTGGCAGCTGGGTTGTATTTCAGTGGTAGAGTGCTTGTCTAGCATGTGTGAAGCCCTGGGGTTTATCCCTGGTGCTGGAAAAAAAAAAAAGAAAAGAAAAGAAAAAGAAAAAAGGAAGAAGCAAGCAAATATTTCCCTTACAGAAATGGATGAGAATCAGCTGAATTAATGATAACTGAGCTAATGCAGGTAAAATTCAACAACTACCTGATCCATAGCAAGCAATATTTTTCACTGTATATGACAAAGAGGAAGAGAGAAGCAGCTTCCAATGGCAAAAGAGAAGAATAGGTGCCAAGAACCAAGAGTTGGTGGTGTTAGGTGCTGGTCTGTACGAAATGTAACAAGGGCAAAACTATATGTTGACCATCATCTTAGTTATGGATTTATTACCTCTGCTGCAAAGTTGTACTTTTTGCTTGTTCTATGATAATGGAGCTGGGCCTTATAAACATTTCTCCTTTACCAGTTACTGTTGTGGGGTGCTGGAAGACAAAGGAGGTGCAAGAAGCTTCCTTTCCAAGTCTGACTGTGACCACTTGCTAGACTTCCAGGGAGGACATTTTCCTTTGATTTTGCTCTCTGTAGGTTCTCCAATGCTAAGTTCCTGCAGGGCACAACATTTAGATGTCAAAAGCTTTCTCCAGAACTCAATTTGGGTAGTGGTGGCAAATCCAGAGCCCCACACCCTTATGTTTCTGGACTGCCCCTGATTGTTATAGACCACATCCTTTCCTTAGAAATGTGGGGTGCACACCCCCTCCCAGGTGAGCTGCCCGCTCAAACTTCCTCTCCTGAAGTCAGCAGCAAACAAATGAGCTGGTTTCCTCCAGAAAACAGCCTGTCTGGATTGTAAAAACAACTTGGGTTATACATTGCTGGAGGGAATATGAAGTGGTGCAGCCTCTTGGAAACATACATTGGTTATTTCTTATGGCGTTAAAATATGCTGTCATAGATAATTGCAAGGACACCTTGAATAAGAAATACCTAGTGGACTGGTTTAGCACAGTTCTGGCTGTGTCTGGATGATGGATTTACTGAAGTGGGAAGACTCACCCTGGATGTGGGTTGTAGCAACCAGGCCTGGATTAAATCGAAAAGGGAAAGAAGAAGGAAGTCTACCCTTTTGCTTTTTCAGATCAGCTCTAGTCTTTGCCATGCCTGGATATTTGTCTAGGCTTCCACGCAGACTCTTTAGCCTTCTGATGCAGACCTTTCAGCTTTCCAATATGGATTGACACCAGATTCTGTAGAGAGCTCCAGGACTTCGACTTTTGACTGGATCCTTTGGCTCTCCAGCACACAGATGGCCCTTTCGCGTTCTTCCACAACTGACTCTGCAGATGGCCATTGTACCTTGAAGACATTATGTGTAGTGAAATAAGCCGGTTGTAAAGGGACAAATACTGTACAATTCCTTTTATATGAGGAGGGGGAATCTGATAAAGACCTAAAGTAAAATGGTAGGTGCTAGGGGTATGGAGACTTGGTGTTTAATGGGCCCAAAGTTTCAGTTCGGAAATACAAAAATGTTCCGCAGGCAGATGGAGGTGATGGTTGTACATTATGAATGTACTTATAGCCAAGAACCGTACATTTAAGCATGGTTAAAATGGTAATTTTTGCTATATATATATTTTAGTACTAAAACCCTCATGTATAAATGTTTATGGCAGTTTTATTCATTAAAACTGAAAACAATCTAAATTGATTAGCAGGAGGATCTGGATGGGGAAGTCCTAACCTTAGCCACCCCCTTTGCCTTTTCCATTAAGCCCCGCCCCTCACCCTGGGCACATGCTAAATCCCGCCCCTTGGGCTATTAAGCCACGCCCCTAGGCCTCCCCAGTCCTCAGTCCCGCTCTGCGGGCGGAGGCAATCAAGCCCTACCGCTCTTCACACCCCAGCCTCGTCCACGGTTCTGCTTTTTCTCTCACCCTCAACTCCTTTTAGTTTAACAATAACCCACGTCCTTTGGACCAACTCCCAGCCCCCTCCAAAGCTAGCATTTCCCATCCCCTGGTTGGACAGAGTCAGCCTTCATCTTCCAGCCTCTCCCTGGATACCCAAACCCCTCGGCTCTCGAGGCCCCGCCCCTTACGCCATTCACTGCACAGGAGCTGGAAGCAGAAGTGTGGTTCTGCGCATGCGCGAGACGCTGTCTTGTCACCTGGAATGCGGCAGCCATGTCACCTCGCGTCTCTAAGCGCGTCTGAAGTAAATTTTTCCCTTAGTTTGTCCTGGCCCCGCCCCATCCATTTTCCAGGCCCTGGAGGCGGAGGGCTGGGCTTACGGGTGCGTGGTCCAAGGGCTTTTCCTCGGCGCTCCCCGCCCGGACACTGCCGGCCTCCCTCAGCTGCGGGGTCTTCCATGAGCCTTAGCCCCTCCCGCGTCGCCTAGACCCCGGCCAGTGCGTCGGGGGCTCCGGGAGCGTCCCGCGGGGTCCGATTCTCCTGCAGACTCTAATTGGAGAACCACCATCGTATTTAGTCTCCAAACGCATCCTGTGCTTTCTTTGCAGAAAGGGAAACCATCTCTGCTTTGGGGCCAGGGGCCGAGAATCTCCACGTCGCCGTCGCTGCGCGGGTCCCAGGATTTCTGCGTGCTGGGTGAGCTCCGTCCCCGCCTCGCCTCTCCCGGTGCATTGCGTAGCATTGAATCTGAATGTTCCTCAGCCATCGAGCATCAGCTTTGCACACTGTATTCAGATACATAAAAGCGAACTGATTTATTTTACGTACTTTGTAACCCGCCCCCTTGCCAAGTGCGTTTTATGTTTAATAAAACGATACATTTTAGTCACTTATCTATAGATTCTTAAGTTTTACACAGAAAATTTGCCCAGTTTCCAATTTGTCTTTTTAAATTCTCTCTCTCTCTCTCTCTTTTTTTTTTAAATACCGGGGGATCGAAATCAGGACCTTGCGCTCGCAAGGCAGGCGCGGTGCCCCTGAGCTACATCCCCTGACCCCGTCTTTTTAAATTCTTGCACTTTACATTTTTCTGTGTTTAATTTCTCTTCTGCACCTTTCAGAACTTTCAGTTGGATGGAGAATAATATATAATTTGCATCCTTGCCTTGTTTCCGTTTTAGAGGAAACTGATCTTATCTGCCATCACCAGTAAATAGGGTGTTAAAAACCCCCTTTTCTCTTTCAGTACTTCTAGTAAGTCCTGTGTCTCCCCCTTCCACTCCCGATGTACTAGGGATTGACCCTTGGAGTGTTCTACTGAGCTACATCTCTAGCGCTGTTTATTTTTAATTTCGAGACAGGGTCTCACTAAATTGCCTAGGCTGCCCTGGAACTTGTGATCCTCCTGCCTTCCCTCACCTTCCCCTGGAGCTGAGATTACAGGTGTAACAGGGCTGCAGATACCAGCAGTATCAGGAGTGACATGGGATCAAGTATTCTGCTGTGATTGTACTGTAGAGGCAAATTTAGCATGTAAATCACAGCAAAATCAGCCTCTGCATATGAAATTCAAAGGGTTGATGCTCTTTCTCAGAAACTAGGTTTTGGGGACCCTGCAGCTCACAGGAGGTGGGGGCTTGACCAGGAGCTGAACAGTAATGGCAGCTCGCCAGAGTGTCCAGAAGTAAGAAATATTGGGAGCAAAGCCCCCAGAAGCTTAGCGTATGAATCAATTAGTTGCTTCCTTGGATTTGAAATAGGTAGTATGTGCTCCCATGCGCGTCTTTAACTTCTTTTTGATCAGCAAGGACTGAAGCACTGTTTTCTAGCTCTAAGGGGAGATAAGGTTGTTCCATCTTTTTTCTTTTTTTTGAGACATCGTCTTACCATGTAATTCAGGCTGATCTTGAACTCACAGTGTAGCCCAGGCTGGCATCGAACTTGGGATCATCCTCTTGTTTCAGCCTCCTCAGTGCTGGGATGACAGGTCTATACCGCTCCACCTGGCTTGCTCCATTTTCATACAAGATCAGCTTGTGTTTCTTGGGGATCTTGGAGTGTGTGTGTATGTGTGTGTTTTGAGGAGAGTTGTCACTCCTAATGGTGTGCTGTAGAATCCAAGGTCATGAGTGTGGAAACTTTGGAAAGGTTAGATTGTCATGTTGGCTGCTGGTTGCTTAAAAATTTTCAATATCCTGCTTTTCTTCATAAAGGAAACATGGACAAAGCAAGAAGAGCTGCTGGGTTACAGAAAAATATGATACAGGTGAGTGAAAGGTAGTAACTCTCCAAAAGAATACTTCCCTTCCACTAGGCGTCCTAGTTAAATACATGGGGGTTCTTGGATTGTATTGCCTTGATAGGGCATGGAGCTCTGTACCTCTTCCTACCGTCCCGTCCCTTGACCATCTCTTTGGCTGTTATCTACATTTATAACAAACCAGTAAGCACTAAGTATTTCCTTGAGTTCTATCTGCTCTCCCAGCACATTAACTGATCTCAAGGAGGGGATAGCAGGGCCCTTGATTTATAGCTGGTCAGTCAGAAGTATAGGTGACAGCCTACTACTTACAATTGACCTCTCAGCTCTTGGGCAATTTTGAGCCTTCAGACTATGGAATGATGCTGTCTCTAGGTATGTAGGTGTAAGAATTCAATTGCATTAAGGGACAGATGGCTGGTGTTCACTGGAGAAGTGCTTGGTGTGTGCATTAATCAGTTTCCCATTACTGGGACAAAATACCCTACATTTGCAATTTAAAGGATGAGAGGTTTATTTTGGCTCACAGTTTCAGTAGGTTCAGTTCATTGTTGGCTCCAAGGTAGAAACAGTGGGGCAGAACAGCAATGCAGAGGAAAGCAGTTCACTACATGGTGGCCAGAAATCAGAGAGAGAAGGTGGGAGCCAAGGATGAGAATATACCATTCCAAGTGATGCCCCAGGGACCCATCCCTTCTGATCAGGCCTCACCTCTGAAAATGATTCTTTTGGGGAACATTTCAGATCTAAACCATATCAGAGTGTGGGAAAATTCCCCACATAGCAGTTGTGAGAAGTGTTCTATATTCTATCAAGTGACTGTGTAATAGAGTAGGAAAACCATTTTGATTTTTCCTTTCTTGTTACCAATGAACTGCTGAGAGAGAAATTTAGTATTTTAGAAGTATGGAGGCTATAAGAAAGGATTTTATCAGTCAGGAAGTATGTAGGGGTAGGAAAGGAAAGAGATAGTTGCTGAGTCTGAGTAGATACTGGAGATCATAGAGTCTTCTTAACACCCTCTGAATTATTTCTCAGTCCCTAGTATTGTCATCATCCTTCATCCTCTTACACACACTGGAGGACTTGTGACTTCTTCAACAAAATTTGTGGGATCTTGTAGGACTTACTGACCTTTGAAGATGTGGCTGTATACTTTACCAAGGAGGAGTGGGCTTTGCTGGATCTTATTCAGAAGAACCTCTACAGAGATGTGATGCTGGAAACCTTCCAGAACTTGGTCTCACTAGGTAAGAATGGCAATATTTGTTCATATAGTTGGTTAGAAAGCAGTTTCATCTTACTGATTGACCTTGTTACAGGATTTGGGGTGAGGAATGGGAATACATTGGTAAACAATGTGGTCACTGACTCCAGTGTCCTTAACAATCTAGACGTTTCATTACGAAAATAAACATTGATATAATTACTTTTTGTTTTTCTTGTGGTTAAAAACTTGAAGTTTATTAAGTATTGAAAATGTGGGCATTTAAGAGTCATATTGGGGTACAGGAAGCTCATTTGAGATCTTCTGAGGATTTTACTGGTGTGAACATCCTTTGCTCAAAGACTACCAGGAGCACACCTATAGTTAAAGATGTTGGGTTTATTCACAGTGCATTATGGGAGGGCATCCCTCATGGAGAATTGTGGAACATCTTAGTAAGAGGGTATTGGAAAGTACCTATTGCAGGATTTGTGCTTTGGTTGAGTGATTTGGGGATGAGTCTATGAAAGCAGACAGTATTAGTTTCTTCGGCCTTCTGCAACAGAATATTATACCCTGGTGGTTAAGAAATACAGAAATTTATTCTGTCATGTTTCTAAGTGCTGGAAGTCTAAAATCAAAGTGTCAGCTGGCCCATGCTCTCTGAAGGCTCTAGGGAAAATGTCCTTCCCTTCTCTTACTGGCTTCTGGTTGCTACTAGCAGTCCTTGATGTTGCTTGGCTTATAGATGCATCTTTCCAGTCTCTGCCTCCATCATCTTCTTTGCTGTGTACCAGTTTCAAATCTTTCTCCTTAGGGTGACACCAGTCATTGGATTTAGGACCCACACTAACCCTAAATAACCTCACCTTAACTTGATAATATCTGCAAAGACCTTTTTTTTTTTCTGAAGAAGGTAACATTCTGAGGTTCTGGGTGGACATTTCTTTTTTTAATTAATAGTTTTTAATTTTTAGAGTAGTTTCAGGTTCATGGAAAGATTGAGTGTAAGGTAGAAAGATTTCTCATATAACCTCTGCCTCCTAGCAGCATTTCATACCCCTCACCCTAATGGTAAATTTATTACAATCGATGAAGCCACACTGACACATCATCATCATCCCCCAGTGTTCATTATTTATATTAGGGTTCACTCGTAGCGTTAATCATCTGTGGCTTTGGGAAAATGTGTAAGGAATGTATAAACCATTATAATATCATACAGAGAAGTTTTACTGCCCTGGCGATCTGTGTTCCACCTATTTATCCTTCACTTGTCTGTAACCATTTCCCAGGCACTGATCTGTATTGTATCTTTATAGTTTTGCCTTTTGCAGATTACAATGAAGTTGCAATCATAAAATATGTAGCTTTTTCAGACTGACTGCTTTCATTTAGCAATATGTGTTTAAATTTCATCTATATCTTTTCATGCTTTGATAGCTCACTTCTTTTTAGTGCTAAATAATATTCTTATGTCTGATTGTGCCATAGTTTATTTTTCACTCACCTGCTGAAGGACAGGTTTGTTATTTTGGGCAATGATGAATAAAACTGTCATAAACATGTGTGTGCAGCCTTTTACGTGGTTATAAGTTTTGAACTCCTTTGGGTGACTACCAACGAGCACAATTGATTTGCTGGATCATATATTAATAGTGTGTTTAATTATATAAGAAGCCCAAAACTGTCTTCCAGAGTGGCTGCATTTTGCATTTCCTCTAGCAGTGAAGGAGAGTTCCTATTGTTCCAAATTGTCATTAACATTTTCCCATGTTCTGGATTTTGGCTGTTTTAGTAGGTGTTAGTGGTATGTCATTGTTTTAATTTGCAAGTCCTTGATGACTTATGGAGGATTTTCTTATATGCTTCTCATTTGTATATCTTTTTTGATGAGGTGTCTATGTAGGTCTTTGGCCCATATATATATATATATATATATAAATTTTTTTTTTTTTGGTACTGGGGATCGAACTCGGGCCCTTGCGCTTGTGCAGCAGGCAGTAAAACCACTGAGCTAAATCCCCGGCCCTGGCCTATATTTTTAATCAGTTTGTTTTCTTATTGTTGAGCTTTTAGAGTTTTTTGTGTAACAGAACAGCAAAACAGTCTCTTATCAGATAAATCTCTTGCAAATGTTTTCTTTCAGGCTGTGGCTTGTCTTTTCATAGAGCAGAAAATTTTAATTTTAATGAGCTCAGTGTATTAAATCTTTGTTTCATGGATCCTGCTTTTTGAGGTCATAGCCAAAAATCCAAGGTCAACTAGATTTTTTTCCTCTATCTTCTAATATTGTATTGTACATTTAGGTCTGTGATCCATTTTGAGTTAATGTTTGTGAAGACTATTTTTCTGCATGGGAATGATAATTGTTCCAGTACCATTAGTGGGAAAAATCTATCTTTTCTCTATTGGATTGATTTTGCTCTATTTTCAAAAGATTGGTTGACTCTGCAATCATTCCTTGGTATTAGAGTATTGGGTCCAGGATTCACCCCACCCCCATACTACCTCTGTGTGTGCTAAGATCCCTTATTTAAAATGACATGGTATATGTATACAACCTATACACATCCTCTCATATCCTTTAAATCATTTCTAGATGATTTAAGATACCTAATACAATGTTAGGTGCTAAGTTAATACTTATTATACCATATTGAACAGAAAAAGACAAGTCTTTCTTTTTGACAAGAAAAAGAGAAGTCTATACATGTATAGATGCATTTTTTTTCTATAATACTTTTGATATGTGGTTTGTTGAATCCATTAATACAGAGACCTGGCTGTATTTATGTATATCTATTTTTGGCCTTTGCATTCTGTTCCATTGGACTTTGGGACATGGATTTTGGGGGACAGTGTTCAACTTTTGAGGGGACAGTGTATATAAATTGGATGCTTACAGAAAATAGAAGCAATTATATAGGCAGTGATGGTTAATGTTATAGAGCTTTCAATGATAACAAACAGACAACTGCAGCATAGTGTGTTTTGTTGGTTGTATAGTGCCTTCTTTTTATCTGTCCTTGAACAGAGTTATGAAGCACTCTTAATTTTGCTACATTTTAGCATGGTCTTAAAATAGCATTGTCCAAGGTTGGTCTTCTGTGACATTATTTTGGTTCCCCAGGAGAACAATATTATAGAGAATGTTATTGAGAGTCTTGGCCGTGGATCTCGATATCCTGTGAGACAATATAGCACAAGCTGACAAGAACAGAAGACAGAAACAAGACTAGGGAGAAAGCTGGGTCTTGGGGCTGATCTAAGCTGCTTTGGGTAGCAAAGGCAAAAGGCACCAAGGACATCTAGAATTTATTTATACCAAACGTGGGAAAGAGGAGAGCAGGGTAACTTAGGGACATCTGATTGATAGCAGGTATCACAGGCAGGACTGTAAAAGGGAGGCACTAAATATCTTGTTGAAGGGAACAGATGGTTAATTCAGGGGGAAGAATTTAGCTGGAGTCAAGTTGACCTTGGCTGGGAGTTAACTCAGCAGGGCCCTGCCACTTCATGGACCAGGACCTAAGTTTCTGTAGTAGCTATTAGCAGAGGAGCCATTCTCACACGACTCTGGTATATGACATGCCCATTTGAGTCACATAAAGCTTTGGTCTGACCCCTAATGTAATAGAACCAAATTATGGAGGGGCAAGAAGATTGTGCCATTTATAGCCTGCTAATACTGGGGAGGGATGTCTACTGCACAATATGCCTCAGCTGTATCAAACTGGCTAGTAATAACATTGTGGCGAATGTCAGATTAGTTCTGGGCCTCACAGTCTGCCTTTATTCTCTCATCTCAGCCTTTTCTTTTACTTTCTTTTTCTTTTAAAAATTCTTTTGTGGGCCAGGGATTTAGCTCGGTTCTGCCACCTGCCTCACATGTGGAAGGTCCTGAGTTCGATCCCCGGTACAAAAAAAAAATTCTTTTATATATTTGACGTTGTGTTGCAGTTAAACTCACACTTGCACATCTTCAGAATATCAAAAAACTAGCATTTCTGCCCCGTCTTATGGAAATGTTTGTGGTTCTTCATGGTTTTCCTTCATGATATGTGTTTCCACCTGTGCAGGGTACCAAGTATCCATACCCCATCTGATCTCCCAGTGGGAACAAGAGGAAGACCTGCTGAAGGTAAAGGGAGGACTTATCCAGGGCATTTGTATGAAAGAACACCAGGAAGGTAAGAACCATTGGGAGAAACTCTCCTGATAGGGGAAAAAAATCAAATAGAAACAAAACAAAATTTTGTCTGAGAAGGCTGATCTCCCACAGATACCTTTGATTACTATTTTGATTTTTTAATTATTCTTCCCACATTTTCCTTGTTCTTGGCAAAGACTTCCCTGTGTATTTTAATCTTTTTAAATTATTAGGTAATTGGCATTTTATCTAATTCCTTTCTGTCTTGTATTCGTAATATTCTACTTATGTTACCATCAATGTCAGTCTTCATAGATGGCTTTCCTAATAGATTGCTTACGGTTTTGACCCTTGTGTATATTAAAATCAGTCTTGAAACAACCACACTGCTGAAAGTTCTTTGTTCATAAATGCCTTTACTTTTCAGTTTCAGGTTTTGAGACTCAACTCAATACTAATGAATTAGTTGCTTTTCAAGATATTGATGGAGAAAAAACATCCAGAGAACAGAAAATAAGAGTCAAAAGAACTGGTTCCTGTTCCTTTATTTTACATGAAAATTGGGAATCCCATGGTGTTGATGAGCAGAACAAAAGCCATGAGAGACATTTGAGGTGAGTGCCTTTTAGAGAAGAGAAAATAGTGCTTCAAGGGAGAATGTTTAAATGGCTTGAGATTTCAGAAGTGTGAACATATAAGCCTAAGTCTAAAATTATGATTTCACAAAGAATTTTGTCTGGAAATTTTTTGCCACAAATGATACTGAGATGTAGAATATTTGACATGCATATTTCACTTGTAAATAATTATCAGGAAAATCCCATAAGTCAAAAACTTGTTGACAGTATTGGCTATCATAGAACCTTCCATGAGAACTTTTAGCTTTTAAGTTGATGGGAAAGAAAATGTACTCATAGAAAGTGGTAAATATTCATTATTAATGTTGTGTCTCTTACTTTTAAGTCACATGGTGGAGAACATCTATGAATGTAATGAAGAAAATCAGTGTGAACAAATTCCAAATCTTAATGTGCTCAAGAGAACTATTGAAGTAAAATCCTATGAATGTCGTGAGTGTGGGAAGGCCTTCATGTTTCATTCATCCCTTAAGAATCACATCAGATCTCATGCTGGAAGCAAACCCTACCAGTGTCAGGAATGTGGGAAGGCCTTCCATTTTCTTGCTTGTTTTAAGAAACATATAAAGACCCCCACTGAAGAGAAGCCCTATGAATGTAAGGAATGTACCAAGGTCTTCAGTTGTTCATCATTCTTTAGGGCACATATGAAGATTCACAGTGGAAAGGCAAACTATGAATGTAAGGAATGCGGGAAAACTTTCAGTACTTCTTCATACCTCACAGAACATAAAAGAATTCATAGTGGAGATAAGCCTTATGAATGTAAGGAATGTGGGAAGGCCTTTAGTTGTTCGTCATCACTCTCCAAGCACAAAAGAATTCATAGTGGGGATAAGCCATATGAATGTAA